GTGTGTGTGTGTGTGTGTGTGTGTGTGTGTGTGTGTGTGTGTGTTATTGTTAAGGTCATGGCAATGTGAACGGTTCTTGATAAGCTTCTGTCTACAGAGAGGCGCACCTATTGGCTGTTAGATGACATTTGTTAGCAGACTGGAGTCCTCCCTCAGGTTTTCATGTGTCGGGTATTGATCACAGCAAGGATGACCTTGTGGTCAACACTCAGTTCTTTTGGCTGACATTGGTGGTGTAGGTAGAGAGCCTGTGTTTACTTCTTTAAATAAAGAGTAAATTAGAATTTGTGGACCGTGATGAAAAGGCAGTTGTAAATAGTGTAAGTGTAATAATGTTATTCTATTCTACTTTAATTTTATTGTTATAAAGTCCACTATTTTATTTTCATCAGCAGAACCGTTTTTATTTTGTTTCTTGTCCATATCAAACCTAAGACTAGCTCACTTTCCACCTTGAGTATCTTAATAAATTGTAAAGTCATGACATTTATTTTGGAGCTTCCATACTGTTTATTCAGGTGATAAAAAAAAACAAAGCCAATACTCTGCTTATCTTTACTGTTTCAGCCCAGGAGCAAAATCTTGGAGATCAGTTCCTTCATCTCTTCCTTCAAGATGGAAGCCCTGTTGCTGAAGTTGGTTGTGGCGGCAGCCATGTTTTAAACGCAGCTGCAGGAGTGACCGTGAACAATAACAGATGGACGCCAATCAGGATCCGGTATGATACTGTTTTCCTCTCCAATTCTTTACACGTGTGTGCCAAGATAATTTTCTGTCCAAGAAGACCGTTTTAATATATAATAATTCTGAACTTAAACACAATTTATTGTTTTTTTTTATTTTTCATGATGCACATTTCCACTTGAAACGTATGTATATTTTATCAAAAATATTTACAATTACATGAGAAATGGAAGCAGATGGAAAAAAATATGTAAAACAAAATGTAAATTAGTCATAATACAGTATTATAACCACATGATTAATATTAAGTAGGTCCCCAGCATGTATTTTTCTCATGATGCACACTGGTAGCAGTGATGTAAATAACTTACAACCATTGGCCATAACTCTTAGATCAAGTTCTTGTTTGCTCTTTGTGATCGTTTTGGCAACGGACACCAGTCAGCCTGGGCACTTTAAACGTTATGCAGCTGCACAAATTCATATAAAARAAACCACAAAGGACTGTGTATGTTTTATACCATTCAGTTGGGATCAGCAGTAACTTTTAAAACTATTGCAGCTAAAATATGTCGTCTATTGGATTAGGCAGTACTGGCCAGTTTTCACTCTCTGAACGCCGCAAATACTTTTGATTTATTCTTGGCATCTGTAGATCCAACACTGATACTTCATAGAATGATCYTATTGACTATTTTCTTTTGATTTCTGGTCAACTGAGAAAGCTGGCATTTTTGCCAAATGGTTTTGGAATGCATGTGAATGTTTGAGAATTYTAAAGTTAGTGAGCACACAATGAAAATAAAACTTTTCTTAATGACCTSTTCATTTGCTAAGTTATTTATCAGAACTAGATCAAAGTAACCACAAGTAAATATAATCCTGGTACMATGGATTGGTTCAGGAAGTCAGTTTGGACCAGTTTTAGTTCACTAAATAATGGCCCCAACTCTGGAATATTATTGGATTTTGTCATATGAGTTGATCAAATCAAGACTGTCCACAGTGTTTCCAATATATTACCGAGAAAGCTTTGGCTTTTCCAAAGGAGTGTCTGTTTAATAAATCTTTGGTAGAATCACTCAGGTTTTAGATCATTTTGCTTATMACCGARTTTCTTCTGAGACTTGATTTTTTTTTCCTTTGGAGGTTCATTGTTTCATCAAGTTATCCTTACTCTGATGCACCAAAACAAGCTAAAAAGATATTAACATCTTCACATGTTCATGTGGTAGAATTAATTCTAATACTACAACCCAATATATCTTTTAGTTTTCAAACACCTYTTTKTTTATTTAACTTTTATTTAAGCAGGCAAATCCCACTGAGATCACAGATCTGGGGACTGGGCCTGAAGGCAGCCTAAACATACATGTTTTTGGACTGTGGGAGGAAATCAGACTATCCAGAGAAAACCCACACAGTCACAGAGAAGAACATGCAAACTTCACACACAAAGACCCCAGGCACAATCTGGGGCTTGAACCCAGGATACACAACAAGTGCAAACCACTAAGCCACCATGATGCCCACACACTCGTCACTGATTTATAGTCATGTTTGTAAAATATTCTTTCCTGACTTTTTGTTTGTTCACATTACGGTATTTTCTTTTCTTTTGTTTCTTTCATTTTCAAGCTCAAATAGCTTGCTCCTTGTTGCTCTGCCATTCACACCATGGTAGTTCATTGTTCATCCACCAGTGGAATTGTGAATGTTCTGAATCGATGTAAGAAACATTCAATGTATTAAACTTTACCTTGAGTTCTTTTGTGACTTGGTGCACTGCATGCACTGCTTTTAGAGTGATCTCTGTTGGATATCCAGTCCTCAGGACCACAACAATGGTCTTGATTTTCCTCCATTTGTACCCACTCTGTTTGGCTGTTGATGYGTTTTGTGCTGAAATTCTTTAAAAGTAATCGTTTGGCAATTTCCAACCAAGTGGGCATCAATAATATTTTTCTGAGATCCTTAGAATTTGTTTTCACGTACTTTGATATACTTGCATGTTTTATAAAGATGACTATTTTTTAAAATATAACACGTATATATAC